GAGCTTGTATCCACCGTAGCATATGTACCGGCCCCCGTGGGAGGCTCGCGGGCGACAGTGTCCAGGGGGAAGTGGGCCTGAGAAAGCCCAGTCTGGATCTGCAGGAAAATCCTCTTGGGTTGGACCCGTCCCCGCTCCTTGTGCAGAATGAATATGTCAAGGCCGACATCAGAGCGACACTGGAGGGACAGGTTCTGTCCAGAGGCCACGATGGGGCCCTGCTGGCTCAGGAGGGAGGGCTTCTCATACTCACCTGGGGAGACCAGACCTGAATTACAGGGGCTGCTCCTCCCATAAACCCCCTTCTCTTGGACTGGCTCCCAGGATCACTCTCTCTCTGTTTCTGGCCAAGGAGCCTCTGTGTCCCTCACCCCACCTTCTCCCATAGGGCTCCCCTCCCAGCAAAGATGCCAATAATGTATCTGGTGACTTGATCCATGGATGGGGCAATAATGAAACTCACCTGAGAGCAGGAGCTCCAGGGGGTCACTAAGTGGTGAGCACACCTGGGGGCTGTCCCTGTAACAGCCATAGCATCTGAATGCCCCCCTGTAGCTGGAAGTCACGGGGCCCACAGGGAACAGGGCCTGGGACTGCCAACTGGGATGTGACTGTGAGTCCAGGGCCCAGGAGAGCCTGTGATCTCCTTCCTTAGTCAGAATGAATCTGCCAAATCCCTGCCATGAGCCACAGTGGAGGGTTACGTTCTCTCCATAGGTCACGACAGGGCTGGGCAGGGCTGAGAGGCTGGGTTTGCTGTAGGCTCCTAGGAGAGGAGGAGGCAGCGTGTTAAATGGGCTCACATCTCCCTCATGTCTCCCAGGGCTGGGCTGTGAGATGGGAACGCCCTGAGAGCAGACCCCCTTCCTGAGGCAGAACCTGAGGCTGGGATCCCTGAGTGTCCTCTCACCTGTTATCACCACCAGCTCCAGGGGGTCACTACGCTCTGACCAGCCAGCAGGGCTGCGATACTGACAGCGATATCTACCAGCATAACCCTCTGTCATGCGGGTGATGGAGGACATCAACTTGTCCCCCGGCTCCAGTGGCTCCTGTGTTTTCCATGGTGCTAGGCTTCCCTCTTTCTCCAGATGGTACTCCACAGCCTCTGGAGACCCCTGACACCAGATGGTCACGGGGCTCCCCCAGGGGATCACAGGGCCTGGTTCAGCCCAGATGGTGGGTTTGGGGATGGGCCCTGGAAGGAAACCAGTAGCTGTGTTCTAAGATATTTCCCACCCTCGGTCCCACCTCTCAGCCCAGGACCTTTCCCGATGTTACTTATCTATTAGCTTAGAACACTGTTCTTCCCCAGCTGCCTGGGGTTGGCCCTTGTCCCCAGTTAGAAGTGGGGCCTGGGACACCTGGGGAGACTCACCTGCCTGCACCGGGGTCCTGAGGCCCACACTCAGCCCTGGAAGAGAGTCCCTGTGAGAGATTTGCCCTGAACCCTGAGCACCTCCCTTCTCCCCATGAGCCTCCTGAGTCCTGGGTCCTGACAGACCAGGGCTCCCCTCCCCCTCCCATCTCACCGAGGCAGAGCAGGACCCTGAGGGTGGGAGTCATGTCTTCTCCTCTCTTTACACTCCGCTGTGCAGATGCAGGAGGCCAGTGTCTTCTAAACAGATAGACAAACAGGGTGTGGCCCCTCTGAGGCTGGCCCTCCCTGTGATGGAATTCTCACCTCAGCAGCCCCACAGAAAGTGGAACATTCACTTCCCAGAGGCCCACATCTGGTTTCAATGGAAAGGAAGAAACAGATCAGGGACTTCCTGAGACGCCCCTTGCAGGTGAGGTGACCCAGGGCACGTCCTTCCCTGTCAGAGCCTCCCCCACGGGGTCTCCTTCCCCCTCAGCCCGTCCATCAGCACCTCCCTGGGGTCCTCACCATGGACAGTGTCACCAGGAACCTGGAGACGCTTCAGGAAGAGGTGGGTCCCTGTGGCCTGCAGAGCTCAGATCAGCAGGGACACGCTCACCCTCTCCTTGTGCAGGTCAGGGCGATGTCCCTGTGACAAGGAGCACAGAGGGAAATGCAGGGAAATAACAGAGGAAACACGTCACTTCTCCTGGCCCTGAGTGTGGCTTTCTTTGAATCACAGCTGCTCTTGCGGACTTCTCTTTTTTTCGTAGCCACAGCATCTACTGCCGCTTCTTGGGGACAAACTTCTGAGTTATTTTTCCTCCTCAGTGCCCCTTGCTTCCTGTGTTAAAGTCTCCTCTTCATCCTGTGATCCAGCCTTCAAGCTTTAGGGCACATTGATTTGGGTTATAGTTATGATTTTGACTTAAATAAAATAAAATATTTATTAATTATGTAATATATTTACTTATTTATTTATTAATATTATTTTTTGCTGCCTACAAGAGACCATTGAAGTTCTTATTAAGATCCTTGAGGAACCTTATGACCATTGTTTTGAGCTCTGTATCTAGTAGTTTGTTTGCTTCCATTTCATTAAGTTCTTTTTCTGGAGATTTCTTTCTTTTTTTTATGGGGGACATGTTTCTTTGTCGCTGCATTTTGGCTTCTTCCCTGTGCTTGTTTCTAGGTATTATGTAGAGCTGCTATGTCCCCTGGAATTGGTAGGGTGGCCTTGCATAATAGGTGTCCTGTAGGGCCCGGTGGCTCAGCCTCCCAGTTACCTGAGCTGGGCACTCTAGATGCCCCCATGTGTGGGCTGTGTGCACAGTCTTGTTGTAGTTGAGCCTTAATTGCTATTGGCGTCTCAGGGAGGAATTGACCTC